ATAAAAACGGAAATAAATATCACTAATATATTTAAATAATTATATTATTATATATTGTCTTGCTGTATTATTAATTCTACAAATATTTCTGATGACAAATATTTATGGAACGTTAACAGAAACGAAATAACAGATTTACATGCATAGGATGTCATCAGCAGTGGATTTGTCGACCGCCGTTTTCTTAATTTTCTTTTGGCCGTTAAATTTCTTCGCTTTCAGAACCGCCAACAGATTTTACGAGGTGGCTATGATCTGTAAAGTAGCCCTTTTGTTATAATACATATGCGAGAAAGCTAAAACCGCGCCGCAAGGGAATATATATTTAAGATCAGAATTTAAAGTGCATCCACGGATCTCGCTTTTGCTATTAAATTCTAAATTATTGATCCTTCCCGAAGGCGATAGCTTTCTCAAAAATATCTGGAATCTTGTAAGGCGTGTCTGATGTTTCGACACTAGTGTCTTGTATTCGACACTAGATATCCTAAATACGTTTAGTATTACAGATCTGTATAAATCGCGTTATACTTAAACGCTGATTAGCAGGAAAATTAAGGACGAGTTCAAAGAAATTAGGAGAAAATTTACAAAACATAGAGATAGAATCGTACGATATCGCCTAAATTTATTTGTTACGGAAAAAATATTTAATTCAATATTAAAATTTGATATATTAATTTATTAACGTAGAAATTATAACAAATGCATAGAAAAAATATACGATTACTTATTTTAGATAAAATAGATATATAATTTTTTAAGAACTTATTAAACCACTTCGCAATTTAAAATCGCTCACGTTTCTACTTTCAGGAATTATTTCTTACACGGAGTACTTGTTTCTTCTGTCTATCCTGACGAGTGAGTTTTTTGCTGACAAACATATTTATATGAGTCAAATTATGATTTAAATGCATAAAACGCTTAAATGAAACGCAACGCTTTTGGGTATAACAAACCACATATTATAAAAGAAAAATCGAATAATAAGATGTCGTATTTTCTCGTTTTGTTCACGTGAAAATAGTTATCCGCTTACTCAAAAAACTAATCCGCAGAACGTTCGATTTGCTCGGTACCTTGATACAAATAATTATACAACACTTTTAGTAGAACCCATTAAATGCTAACAATATGTATATATGCTTTTTACATATAAATGCGTTTCTTTATAAAAGTTTTTAGAATTCGTGCAAAGTATACGGGATGTCTTCCTATTTTCTTTTTTTTCACGAATTTTTTTAATTAATATGGAATTAGTTTGCTTTTAGCGAAAATGTAATTGGATATGCGATATTCTTTTTTTAACTTTTTAAAATTTTATATATTTATGTGGCTATATATAATGTTTAAAATAAAATTTTATCAAAATGAATTTTATTTGGAATTAAATGAAAAATATTGCATTATTAGTTGCATATAGATTAAAAACTGAATTCTTAGATTTTTGCTCAATTTTATAATCCAAAAAATGTTGGTGCATGGATATTTTGTTTTGAAAATTATTCCAAAAATTTGTAAATAAAATAAAGATGCCATACAGATTATCTCGAATATTTTATATCGAAACTTGCACATAAATTTGTATTTTTTTTTTGTTCACAGAAGAAAATTTTAAGTCGTATTTTATGTAAATATCACGCGCTACAAAATTGCTTTATTAATATTGAACATCTCAATATATTGCTATAAGTTTACCGCGATAATCGATCTCGTTGTAGAGCCGAAAACTGGTTTCCAAATCGCCTTCAACATGTTCGACACCGATGGAAATGAAAGAGTCGATAAAACTGAGTTTCTCGTGGTAAGATAGTCGTATCACATACATGCATGTTTTTAGTGATTGCTATTGTAGAAACACTATAGAGTTGTTAGTGAAAATGTGTTTTTTTTCTTTTTTTTTTTTCTTATTCCACTTCGCAAAATAAAGCTTGAAATTGCTACAGTTTGCACAATTTTGGTAACAGTTTAATGAAGAAAAATTTCTTTTGGAAATTATTAAATTATTATTTTGTATAAGATTTATATATTTTCGATAAATAAGAAGATAAAATTGTTTAACCATAACAATGCATATTATATCCTGATAAATATTCTGAATGAATATTTTGTGATGAATATTATTTATTTAATATTCTAATGTGCTATTTATTTATGTTCAAAGTTTTATTTAAAAATCTAAATTTCGGATAATAAACTTGTAAATAAATACGCGACTGTAGCGTATTCAAGAGTTGTAATGTTAGAGGAGAGGAAGATTTCTATCTTCAAATGCTCGGAAATTTTCTTTCTCAAAAATACAAACGTAAATTTTGGATAAATGAATATATAACTGAATAAAGGCTTATTTCCAGTTTGGACTAACCAGAAGGAACACTTATGATCTACTAACAAGGAACGACTTCAACCACTAGCAACTTTATACTAATTATCAATTTATATAAAATAGTTTTTATCATTCTCACAGATTCGTCGTTTACTCGGTGGCAGCTTGAAGGAACGAAAACTCGACGAGCTGACGAAACGTGCAGTGAGTTTTAATCAATGTTTCTTCAATCAGGACGGTGTCAAAAGTTAATTGGTTGACCGATTATTAGAAAATCGATATAACAGAAAAATCATTAAGACTTTTAATTATAAAATTATTTAACGATTATAAATTGCTATTTCATTTACCATGTGATTTATTCCGCGCAAAAATGTTTTAAATTTATAAAAATAAAATTATGTGTATTTTATAATTGCAATACAAATATTGATTGATTTTTTCAGAATATATGTATCGATTTTAAAATAATCGTTTTTCAGCATTTATTAATAAAATTTTTGCGATCTATTATATTCCAGATAAATTTTTAGAAAAAATGTCGTACTGCACTAAAAATAACAATGTTTATAAACGTACAATATTGTTTATTATTAATTTTTATTATTGTTTACTATTACTAATTTTTTATAATTTATTTTATTTTATTGTACAAACATTCTTGATATAATTCTGATTAATTATTTTTCTTATTAATATTTTTATTTTATTACATATTTTATTACATTTTATTTTATAATTAGCATTATTTTTTTTAAACTAATGCTTTTTTATTTATTTGAAAAATTAGTTACGTGCCATTGCTCCCGACGAAGAGAATCCATGCAAGGCAAAGCTTCGCGAAATTGTCCCGACTAAATTAAACGAAATTATCTCAAATTCTTATGTAAGTCAACAAACGGCAAGCTGTAAATGAATATCTGTTATGTATTTAAAAAATTAATGTATATAATAATTAATATTTAATTGTGGGCATTTTTTTGTGCAATGATCTTTTATTATTTTGTATATTACATTTTTTTAAGATTTTTAAAATATTTTATATTTTTATTCTTTCTCTTTAACAATTGAAAGATTTTATAATGTTTATATAAACAGGATTGCAATGGAAAGAAAAATGACATGTTTTACAATTAATAATAATATTGAACGAATTGCATTTGGATTGTTAATTTCTTTAATAATCGATTATATTATTACTAACATAATTATTATAATATAGAATATAAGTGATATATTTCTAGGAATATATACACAAATAATAACCCTCTTTGTGCACATTGATTGAATGTAATCAAATGTCACTGTCAATATGATCACGATCTGTCTCAAATCTTGTCGATATTTGCATTGAATATGTTAATATGCAACTTACCAGCCTATATGTATCCTAACATACTAATAATCGCTGTGCTAACACTATTTGCCACATATTTCAGATGCACTAACTCTGGATGCTGAATCATTGCTGTCTCACATTTTGCCTTTGTATCCTATTATGATAGTATATATGTTCATTAATAAAAAATGTATTTAAATAACATCGCGTCTTCTTTCGCGATAGCACAATCTCATATCTTTATCTTCAATACAGATGGAAAAGATATTTAGTCACGCGTGGAGGGGTCGTCATGGATGCGAAACCAAAGAGGAATTGGAACAATTACAGGAACGTCAGAAAACACCGGAAGAGATTCAAGGCCAATTTATTGACGACGATCAGGTATCATCATCGTGATATTATTTATCTTTATACGTGATAAAGATAAAATGACATAAAATAAATAAAAGGGAGAGAAAAAAAAATTAATAACAGAATTCATTAATCGAGACTGGAAAATGTGATCAACTTAAAATAGTTTCCTTATAAATATGTTGATTAAATTTCTTTTAATTTTGTTTAAATATTTTATAATAATTCACTCTTTTTAATTATTAAAAAAGATAGTATATTCAATCTAAATTATAGAATCATATTTTACAATTTTTTATTTGAGTATATTGCAAATTAAAGAATTGTTACATTTTAAAGAATATTTTAATTCAATAAATTTATCAGAAACAGTAATCTTTATATTTAAATTTTAGTAAAAGTTTCTTCATGAACACATGAAAATCAGTATTTATGTTATGTAATATAGGGTTTACAGCGACGTCATGCTGTGGATACTACATTGATGATACATTTCTTTGGCAAAGATGGTACAAATGAATTGAGATATGAAGATTTCAAACGCTTCATGGAGAACTTGCAGCATGAAATATTAGAACTGGAATTTCATGAATTTAGCAAGGGACACAACACGATTAACGAATTGGATTTTGCTAAAATTTTATTACGATATACATACCTCGAACCTGACGAGTAAATTGAATAATTGTAAAAACTTTAAACGTTTACTTTAAAAATTTATTTTAAAGATGTAAAGAGAATATTTTTATTATATACAAATACCTTGTATACGTTATACATTTTTTTTTAATCGAGCTAAGCGCTATTCAAAATATTTTTTCCATTTAAATATTTTGGCTGTTACTGTATTTTTTAATTAAGAGTTAAAAATTGTATAAAATAAATCAAATAATTAAATGCACAGGTACGATAAATACTTGGATAAAATGTTGGATCGAGCGGACTTGCATATTGGTATCACATTCGAGGAATTCCGCCGCTTTTATCAGTTTTTGAACAATCTAGACGATTTTTCTATAGCGATGCGAATGTACACGTTAGCCGATCATCCTATATCCAAAGGTAAGAAGTTAATTGAAATATCAAAACCGATTACAAGAAATTGGAAATACTTATTGCGAAATATAATACATTGGAAATACTTATTTGTATTAAATTAAACACAGATTAATATTTATTAAATGTAAATATTTTGAAGCATTTCTTAAACATAATCTTGCTTATTAGATGAATTTCAACGAGCCGTAAAAATTTGTACGGGGACGATGCTTTCAACTCATATAATCGATACAGTTTTCGCGCTGTTTGATGTGGACGGAGATGGCCAACTCTCCTACAAAGAGTTTATAGCAATTATGAAAGATCGATTGCAAAGAGGCTTTAAGGTAAGGAACTGCGGATTTATACGGATAGTTTTAAAGCTTATAATGTCCTACAGAAATATATGTAATAACTTTTAAAATCAAATGCTTGCTGTACGAGAACAAAACTGTACGAATGGTTGCCGTTTCTCAGGCACCAGATATATATTTTCGGACAATTTAGGAAATATAATTACTAATACGAAATAACTCGATTTGTTATAGTCTCAACAACGTAACGAGGGTTGGGAGGCATTTAAATATTGCGTGAAACAAGAGATGAAAGCGCCCTAAAGGAAAATCAGAGGTGCAACATAAAGAAATATGACGATAAAAACAACGATGTTATATAAACCCCATATGTGTATAATAATTGATTATTACCGGATTGTCTTATAGTTGCCTACCTTCATACTGATATTTATTTTAATAATAAGAGAGATCTTTTATGCATATTTGAATCTATAATAATATTAATGTTAATTATTTGTATGAGCAATTATTATTAAGTGATAGAAAACTGAAAGTATTTTTTTGCATTCTTATTAATAATAAGTATCAAAAGTTATTATCTTGCTGATAATAAAAATCAGCAAGAAGATATTAGAGATAGAAATTAGCTTTTTGCGATGCCTTTAATGTTAAATATTTTATTCTTGTTACATCTTCTTAAATTATTGTATAATCTCGTGATAAAAAATGTCTCTCTAGAATTATTTGCCTCGCACAAAAGATTTTCAGCGATCAGCGAAGTCGTTCTCTATGTTTACGGATTACTTAGAATTCGTGCAATATTTGTACCTATATATTTTATATATATATATTTTATAACAAATCCGAAACCATTGTTTTTCTTGGTACAAAATCAGAAATCATTGTTTACTGTTTCCTATAAGATTGATCATCAAATATCTCAATAATTATGTTTAAAGTTAGTATATAAATCAGATTATAAGGTAAATTTTTTTGTAATTCTCTTGTACTTTAATTCGTAACAATTCTAAATTTTTAATATTAAATTATCGTAGCTACTATTTCTTTAAATATTAGAACAGTCATTTTTGTGTAGTTTGAATTTCAGTAATATAAATGAAGTGCACGATTTCTGGGATATGTATTCTGTGCAAATCCATTGCCAAAAGTTAAAACATTTAAGCACTACATAAATCATGCGCATATTATAAATTCTGTTATTAAAGTGAAAATAATAAAGAACCAGTTACTGAAAAACTAGTGTAGTTAGCCTTGAATAACCACTTAAATGTTTTAGCAAGAATATCGTTAAAGACAGATCTATTATTTGTCTTTTGATAGAAATCTTCATCAAATTCCATGGTTTTCAATTTCATCGGAATATTATAAGCCAAGTTAAATATACTCGGGGTTGCAAAGACAATTACATCGTAAAGATAAAATTAGTTGACATCGCATCGTGCCCTTGCTCTCGAGTCATAAAATACAGTACATCCCACACACAATCCGACTTTATGTTTGTACTGTCGACTGCTTGTAATTATGCGTTATCAGTCATCGCACCGATTGTGCCGGTATGCTTTTGTGAGATATACTCTCAAGCCGACGAAAAAAGGCGTGCCACTCCGTAGATTTCGGATGCGGTATCAGAACACTTCGTTACGCACGGAGATTCTGTACAAAGCCCGCTAGTTTCAGAACGACGAATTGTGTAATTACTATCTAAGAATTCAGCTTCCCAACTATTTCAAATTATCGCGAGACATACAATTGCACAAGATTCACTGTCGCATGTCAACTGAATGACTATCCATAAAGGTTAATAAATTATTTAATTATTAAATGGTTAATAAATCTCTTAATTATTATTAACTGCCATTAATAATTTAACATAGTGTTTTTTAACAGTATTGTTCACATATTGGAAGATTCATAAAATTGAAATAGTATTGCAATTAATGCATTATTTATCGCATCGTAACAAAACTTTTCTCATTATTAGATATTATCCTTCTTTTATAATATATGAAGGATTTAAAGATTTGTTAAGTTGTAAAATACTTGCAAAACGTAATCTTTTGTACAATTTTGTATTTTAATTCTCTGTAATTATCTATAGGTACTTAGACCGCGGATTGTCGAATAATGTTGATGTACTGTAATCAATAATTTGTTCTTTGACAAAACGATTGAAAATAACAGTACGAAGGAACAGAGCGGAAATGATTGATGAATAAACAGCAGAGAACAACGCCCATCGGAACTGTCAGAACCGAAGTACCCGTCCGTGTACATTGCCACCGCAATTTCGCAGTTTAGTCGTGAAAAGGAAGCGGATCGTGCCGCACTCTCGGCAGTTCTCGTTCGCATTGTATCGCAGTGTTCGTCGACATCGCGACATCAATCAACCTGCCGGAATTTTATATTGGGGATATTGATCGATTATTGTGTACAGCATGGGTGTGTGCAAAATAGCCAGATGGTTCAAGTAAGTCGTTATTATTTATTATATAAGCTGAAAATGCAAAAGGAAAGTGTATCGATAAACTGTTGGAGGAAGAAGTATACTCGTACTTTTTAATCTTTCAATTTAATTACTCAAATTTATTCCTAATTTATTTATTTTTAACGCCGGTATTTCTAGTCATTAATTAGTTGAGTTAATTATTTTCTCAAATTACATCTCCGTTCCATCAGTATTTATATAGCTGAAGTTCTGTTGTAGTGGAGGATAAAAATATATTTTGTGTGATGATCCTATCTCATCTAAATATGATTATATCTCAAGATATGTAATATTGAGATGTCTAAATGTGTGTGATATTTAGCAGGACGATGCAGGCTTGCTGTGTGTTAAGATTTTTTTAGGAGTCACGAAGAGAACAGACAAAATTTTTTAAATTTTGGTATTTTTAATAATATATGTGTGTATGTCAGCTGTTTTTATCTATTTATTATATTTTTAATAGTAAACTAATATACCATTGTATCGTTAATACCTTTTATTATATTACTATTCCTAATATTTTATTCTCACACATTTAACAGTTTGGATAATCTCCTGACTTAAGAAAACGGAAAGTGTTTATATCATTCGGTATATATGAGGTGAAGGTCGCAGACATTTGTATCAAACAAATAAAGATAAAAGAGCTTCAAAAAATTACTCCGTGCATTAAATATAACGAATATTAGATACATATAGTAATTTCAATATATTGGCGCTCAGCAGAGAAATATTTATTTAATACAACATTTACAGCGCATATTATGCATATATATTTCTATTATATTAAAACACAGAAGTCCAAGTGAGATATATTTTGATTAGCAAAATGTAATTATTTTTAAAATATTTTTTATACATATATAAGTGATTATATTATTGTTATTTAGAAAGCAGTTATACTTTCATATGTGTAACAAATATCAAAATTTTTTTGAACATTTTCTTGTATGATAAGAACGCAAGGCAAACGTATTCTTTGAACGAACCATAATCAGATAAGCAACAATATTTTTTTGGCAATGAAGCAGTCTGATAATTACCGCTTCAATAAGATAATAATTACGCTTATGTTCATCAGAATATCTTTTTTTCTTTTTATAACGAATTTTTGTTTGTTTACATACATTTTTAATTTCTTTCACGCGTAGAAACGAGTTCGATAAATACCGTTTAAGAAATGCAGTAGCAAAATTCATTACCAGTTGCATCGGACGTTAGGGAAATATATCACGATAGACATCTTAATTGCGGGTTTATATAAAGATAATTAACCGATATCAGTTTATTCTTGATCGATACATGCATAAATGCGAGCGCGCAGTTACACCTATATAAGAAAGAAAAAGAAAGAGATTTATATATACCTCTGATTCAATTTGAATAACATAAGCGGAAGAGCATGCAGCTACGAGAGAGACTCCGCGATTTGCTTCCGAGTTTCTCCGCGGAGGAGATCTACTTTCCATTCCGTGAAAATGTTCCGAAAAGTTCGAGCGTATCGAAGACACGAGCTAATTACGGCCGAAAGAATAGCGGTCGGGTGCCCCCTCAGGAGTTTAGGCACCGGGGGGCATCATACCGTTAAACTAGATGTTTCAACCTGGCCTGTGTATTCGCGGTCTGTAATGACTGCCATTATCTCCTCCTTAAGCCGAGCCGCGCGAGATTGTGCATTTACCGTACTTAGTCCGTGCCGTTATAAAATTGCATTTAACAATTGCTATAAAATTGGTATTTAAAAACCAGTAACTTACACCAACGGTTGAGGTGATGAATGAACGACCATTGTCCTATTGGGCAATGATGACAAAAGGAGCTATTGAAATTCACGAACGTCGAGATTACAAAAAAAATTCTCTCTTACCAAAATTTACCGGTGTCATATACACAAACTGTCTTTCTAGAACCACAGCTGACCTTAATTTTAACAATAGATCATTTATGCTTCCTTGATATATAACATATAGATTATACTTTAAATAAAGAGTCAAAACTGTGAAAAATTATACACATATATGTAAGTTATTTAATCGTATATTTCAAAATTAATTAATACGCGACAATTCTCAACCAATTTATGCCGTCAAGACTATTATATTTTAGTTGAAGAATGTCGTTTTTGTTCAATAATTAATATCAGCCGTAACAAGTATCTTTACGCAGACGTAAGCCAGGTCAGTACTTGACTTAGCGAACACGTAATCGACTTACGGGTTTATATATTTATTATATACTATTTTTTATTATTATATTATAATAAATTTCATGTTTTATAATATGATAATTAAATATATCAAAATAATAAAATTAGAATCATTATATACTAATTTATATACTAATTGTATATACATATATTTATGCTCTCTTTCTCACAATCAGTTGCAGTATATAAGAATAGATGCCTAATACAAATCGCATAATCAGCTGTTTGACATGTAAATGAATTGAAAAATCGGGCGCGCGCATTTCGCTAATTAATATTATTCTTATAAAAAGTATTTCTTTTATGTCTCCTGTTTCCTTTTTTAATTAACACCTTTTAATTCTTGAATGTATCCCAGATGTATTCACTTAAGCTCACTTTCTGTATTTTTCAGAGCATACACATTTGCTATCATTATTTTTTATCATTTTGCTTACTGAAATACGCAAATAATACAATCATATTATTCTCGTTTAAAATGTGATTTAAATGTTTGATAACCACAAAAATCATGAAATTTATCTTACGTGACGTATAAAAGTATTCACTAAAGAATTATGATTTTATTGATGAACATGCTAATATTATCAGACAGACATGTGTATTTTAATTAGGCGAACATTAATCTGGAAATGGAGTATTTTTAATGACCTCGATTAACGATGGATGTGCAATAAACAGTATCTCCGAATACACAATCTTTTTTCATTAGAAAAAAATTTTGAAAACTGGCATTTATTATCAACCAAAATATTTTTTTTGATTGTATAACATTTTATATGATATTATATAATTTAAATTTATTATTTATTTGAAAGATGTCAAATCAATTCTTTTTTATTATGAAAAAAATTTGATAATTATTTTAAATAGAGTTTTGTGACGAAATAAAAAGATCTGAGGATAAATAAGATTCTTAAAGAGTATTGACATTTCATCACTTTCTTCTATCTTATATTCTAAACAATAATACTACACATCCATTCCCATTATGTCAAATGCCAAGTATAAATATTGTCGTATATATATGATAAAAATGATTTACAACAGGATAGATTTGTTGATTTTCGTGTCCTTTCCAAGGTTGAGATCGAGGACCTTAAGATTGACAAATCTAATTTAAAAAGTCAGTCCGATATCACAGCTGTCACGATACATGACGTTGCTTCGCGAATAGTACGCTATGAAGAAATTATTTTCGTTCAAATGGGCCAGAAAGTAAGTGAAACCAAATCTCGAATTAGTCAAAATTTGTTACTAAAATTTACATAACAATATAGGTGTATTTTTAATGAAAGAGAAACTAAAAATATCAATTGGTTTGGTTATAAATAAAATCCGTGAGAAATCAATTATAAAAAGTAAATATATAAAAGCAATCTGAGATTTCGAAAATATATGAAAAAAAAATCGACGGAGTTAAAAATATATAATACTTTATTACTCATGATAAGAAAGATTGTGTACTCGAAGACGCGATTCAGAGACTGCTAGATATTCAGAATAAATCTCAGATTTGTTATTCTTTTTCAGAACAGCTGCGCGATCGGACAGGGGCGTACAATCCACGTCTCAAGGCAGCAAGTAAGTGCATACTCGCTGACAATTATCGATATAATAATTAGAATATTATAAAATGTTTTACACGCAACGATAATTAATCGGTTTCTAACCAGCGATGAGATGTGCTTTATTGCTTTGGGATTTTCAATGACTTCTATCTTCTTAAATCATTAAGAGAAGTTAAAATTAAAAAGACTTTTGTGTGGTCTTGTTATACTTTTAGCGACTATCTCTTTTCATAATCATTCAAATCATTAAGGGAAGTCAAGATGAAAAAGACTTTTATACGCTCTCGTATCTTTTTTATACTAAATAATAAATACTTTTATACTAAATAATAAATAATAACGTATATTACAACAGCATTTTGTTTTTCAAATGTGTTACAATTCGCACAAATTCATCATTAAATTTTAATGATCTCGTATTTAATGAACATAATTAAAAATGCTATATATGTGTAATCTAATTTTTTTTTTTTTTTCATCATATCAAACAATACATAAAATTAAGAATTAAATATATAAACAAAACACTGCAATTATATTATAAGTGATAAGTTAAAATCGCTGATTAAGTTTAATCGGAGTTTAATCGAAGTAGCTATCTTTGATATCACCTCGAACATTTTCTAAATTTCCGCGCTTTTTTTGCGCTAGCAGCGCCACAAATCGGGAAAATTCGAAGACTCGACTAGGTTCGAATTTGAATGACCAATCGCGCCCTTGAAATAGAGCGGTCTCTATATGATAATAGGTCAAATACTCTACGCATATATTTTTAATGTTTACTTCAGTAAGTAGGTTAGAATGTGTGTGCAAGTAGTTTAGCAAAGTAAAAAGATAAGGTGCATACGCATAAATGTATTAATGCCGATATCTAAATTAATTATATGTCTTTTCGTGCAGTACATTTTCGCAAGATTTAATATTTTATGTGAAAAGTAATATCATTTCTATATAGTTACATTCACTTTATTAACGTTACTTCACATTGAACAGCATTTATGTATTAATACGCACAAAAGTCTTCGAGAGAAAGACGCTAAATATTAAATCGCTTATTAAATTTGAAATCTTTAATCGTTATTCAATATTAAATATTAAATCGCTTTTTTGTAAACATGGAAAATTTCGCCACAGTTACGGCTGTTCCAAATCCTCGAAATCTCAGGTATGGCTTTACTACATAAATTATACAAAACGTACATACCAGCGGCTAAAAATAATTCTTATTATAGTAGTTAAAAGGCGAAACATATCCGCTTAAGAAAAAAAAAAATTTTATTGCGAGAATATATAATGCGTAAATATTATTTTTGATTTTCTTACATTGATTTGATTGACTGTATTTTAATTAATTTTAATCATTTTTAATTAATTCGATCTTGTAATTCTTGAATGTGCTAAAAATATAATATCTAGTTCTCATTATATAAATTCTTTAATTCGTTAATTTTTATATATATTTATTATTTTATAATTCTTTTTATATTTATATAGTTTTGATGATTTCCTTCATTTTTTTTTCTTTTTTAATTAATTTTAGATTGTAAAAAATTCACTTTTCCGCGCATCAATGATCAAAGTCTGGCCATAAAAATTGTACTTTTTACCTTTTGTATTTTTTATTAGTGTCATAATTATATGTAAAAAAATCAAATTTTTATATTTCGGGAAGATAACTCCAGAGAGTGTTACACAAATATTCACCAAATATCTTATATGTATTTACGACGTAACGCTCGATGTATCTGAAAATTACAAAGTCTGTTATGCGTTTGCATAATCAACGTGACGCGATACACTGGTGCTACTATGGTCATTTCTACGAGCATTTTATTTTCAGTTGTGCGAATAATCGTGTCCAGTGTGCTTCTTTGTTTCTCTTCTGTGAGCTGTTGTTTCGTTTTTGTCTTGTCACGAAAAAATAATATAAAATATATTAATTATGAACAATGCATTCAGCATTGACTCGGTAATTTTTGATAAATCTGTTTATACTACAGAAGTACAAAAACTACTATCTTCGCGAACATCTCTCATATGACAATATATATATATTTAACGTCATGTTATAGTGTATATTAACAATAATACAGAGATTAATGTAATATAATTTTGATGAAAATCTTTACTTTTGAATTATTATTATAGTGCATATTTAATTATTTAACAATTAAATAAAAAAGTATTAGCAAAAGGCTCAAATGATAAAGATTATTTAATTATATTTATGTGAATTAAAATTGACATTATAAAATTATATTATTACTTTTATCATTGTTTTTATGTGTATCACCAGGTAATGTTAAATATATGTGACAATAGTAATTTGTAAACTTAACTTAAAACACATCTACATGATTTAATCGTAGTTAAAAAAAGAACGGAAAATGGAATTTGATTAATATATATCATGCTTAAAATACATAGTAACGTTTATTATTAATAGTATCGTTTATTTATTTATTTTTGAAGAGTTTTGTTCCAATTTGGAGACGTTTTACGTGCACGTCTTCAATCATCCATTAAACAAACTGTGGGGAATTTTATAGGAATAATGCTAATACAAGATTATTTTAAAAAATTATTTCTGAGAAAAAGTAAATTTTTTTATTGTGGCAAATTGTCGTTTAATACTATGCAGCTTAAATTGTATCTATGATAACATTCAAACATTTTGATAATTGTAAGACGTTTCTTTACAGTGAATATTACCGAAACCTATTACAACAATTTAGTAGCTGTCACACACCGAACGGGGACATCAGCGACCCGGGCTGGGTCATTTATCGTCCTAAAGAGCAGTACGCCGAACAATCATCTAAAAAAAGCAATGGAAAATCGCGGGAACAAGCGCAGCTTATACCAGGTGTGCCGTATATACGGGCTTCCGAAATATTCGAAATCGGAAGTGTGGTGGGCACTGAGAGCCAATTTCTCGAGCTAGTATCTGCAGAATGGCACAATATGAAGGTGACACTGAAGAGAAATATCTTTCCATCATGCCACGATGCAATAAAGAGAGAAGTAGAAGTTCTTAGGTAAGAAACACCCTATCTGTGTATTAATTATATAGTGTATGAAAAATATATAATATAATCATCAGTTTTCAGCACAATAAACTTGAATTTTACAAGTAATTTGATGGATTGTCAAACTACACGTTTATTTTTTTAATTTTAGAAATCATATTTTGCGAAAAAAAAGATAATTCTTCTCGTAATTCTTAAATGTTTGTTTCCGCGATATTATAAAGGCAATATTTATGTAGTTTACGTTTTGTACAGAATTTATTAATTATATGATTAATATAGTATTTATTTTAACATATAAAACAACATAATCTTTGTATAACATAATTTTTGTATAACATAATCGCAATTTTATAATCATCAGGGAAATTCGCCATCCTAACATATTGTTATTGATGGGCACAACACACACAAATGCGCACAATCTTGTTTCCATCTTCGAATCTGTCGATTGCACATTACATAGTTATATACATGAGCGAGGCGAACGAATGAATACACAAGGAATCATGCAAATCGGCATGAAATTGGCGGATATATTAAAATATTGCCATATGCGCGGATATATCCACACAGCGGTCAGTTCGCGTTGCGTTTACTTTACATCCAACAACAATGTCAAACTTGGTGGATGGGAAATGGCTGTAGAAATGGGAATCGTACGTAGAATAAGCTCTCTCTAACATATATAGTGTTTAACAGACTTAATATATATAATCTAAATGATTTTTTACTATTCTTTATAACATGTGCAAAACAATAAATACGTATATTTCTGATTCACATCTGTTAGTCTCGACAATCGTATTTTTACGAATTTGTTAAAGGTGACCGATTTAAAAATGTTACAAAGAAAACGAACGTAGACTATAAAAAACGGATCACGTCACATCCGTGATTCTATGACACACCCACGGAAACGACCGGCATTGTTTTCGACAAAATGTTCGTTTCTGAATAAATTCGCTGTACCGTATCGATGTTAATCGCATGCGCAGTCTAGAATGCGCAACTCGCTTAAATCATAATCGCAATTAAATATGATAGATTATTTTCTATGATATAATGATTGTAGGATGTCGTGTTATAGAATCATGTTGATATCTTATCGTGAAAAAAATAGAAGTTGAAAGGAAAAAATGTTATAATTCGCACAACTGATTATATATATATATATATAGCCATCAACCAAGTAGAATGCCAAGTTGAAGAAGAAGGGGTAGCGCACCTCGCCGCGAGCGATGCAGGCAAAATGTCGGCGGGATGCGATGGCACACGTATCTGCATGCATGCATATACGCTCGTGCACTTACACACACATATATATATATATATATATATATATATATATATGTGTGTGTGTGTGTGTACTAACTCTGAATAATCTAAAAATTTTACAATTTTATATTCTTTCTTGCAATTTTATATCGCAGTTCTTTTCTTAAATTTTTTCTTTTTAAAATAAAGTATATGACATATATAATTTGATATTAAACAAATTTTTAGCACTGTCATTTCTTACAATAGAACAACTATTATTTCCTTTGCAGCCTTATCAATTTCGCGAATACGAAAAATATTTGCGATTAGAGAATTTGAAATGGGAACCACCGGGAACTTGTTATGGAGAATATCATAATAAAAAGATCGATGTTTACAGCTTGATGTTGTTAATTTGGGAAATGTGCACAGGTAAATATATATTATTATTATTATTTTCTGTTTAAAAAATACGATCTTCAGGTTTTTAGAATAAACTATTAAAATTGCAATCATCATGTATTACAAAGAAACAAGAAAATGGTTTGATAGTAATCCAGTAATAATTATTCTTTATATAATTTTGGCTGTTCCATAGGATGTGTACCACGAAGCGGGTATAATCGTCCAAATGTAGAACGACATTACATGATACGCAAACGCGATGTTATTGTAAGCTTGCAGAATGTCCCACCGATTCTCCATGATTTATTAGAAACTGGATTGCACCCAGATGAGACGAAAATGACATTAGACATGGAAAAAATAGGAAGGAGACTTCATCGGCTGCTGGTAAATTTACACAGCATATACAACATAATCTTTTAAAATTCGCGCAATTCTTATCTACTTATGGATTCTTTGAGTAATAATCTGTCAAGATGCGTTTGTTATTATTCACGATTGTTTTAATATTTTCAGATGATACATGAAGAAGAAGAGAAGAATAGCACATGTAAATGCGCAGACAACAGTAATGATCTTTTGTATAATGATAATAATGCATTATATAAAAAGACTTTTGATGTGTCATCTGTACAAAATAAAGCGTTGATCAGAAATCAATTTGCCAAATCATCGCATTGCCCCATGATAGAGAAAAAATCCTCCTCCAATCAATTTCTCAAGTTTAAGAAAAAACAATATGATGACGATTTAGATTCCGAAAATAATGTCGAAAAGACAGACGCATCTGTGATCGATGATAGTATCGTGAGTTCTATGATTAAAGTAAGAAATACTACTCCTTGCATTCGTTGCGCAGAGATTACAGATATGATGTACAACATGGATGAGATATATGATGCACGAGCTAATATAAAACGATTGAAGGAACTACTAGCCAGTAAAAGAGAAGATTTCTTTTTTGGAAACGATTCAATGTTATCTTCTTCAATCACAAGTAAATGATCAATATATAAACATGATATATAGCAAACTTTCATATTTATATTTCTATAATATAGTATATCTTTATATCATAAATTTCAAATTTAACTTAAAATTTTTTTACATTACATTTTTTCATATTACATTCTATAAACATATGATCAAAATGTATAGAGATAATGTGAATATCAAATATTTTATTAAAATAAGCAAGAGAAATATATCAAACATATATAACTTAAATTCTTTTGTATTTTCTTCCATATATATCAATATACAAATATTTCTCAAGTCTTAATATTACTCTTGAATTTATCATTATTTATCATATCATTTTAAAAATAAAACAAATTCGATTTATCATTCTTCTGAGTTCTGGATTTCAAAACGATCTATAGTATTTGGATTAAACTTATAATTTTGAATATGTTAGGTCCAAAAGCAACAAGCACATTAATCTCAGAAGGAAGAAGTCCCAACTGTATAACATGTAAACCAGCTAGTCATACAACTGCTATAGAACCTAAATGTAATAAGTCACCCAATGAATATAATGGGACTATTCCAAAATCGTCATATTCACATCAACGAAAGGTACTTTCTTGTCTGAAATAAAGTTTTATTCAATTTGTTAATAATATGTATGTAAATCAATATTTTTTGAAGTTTATTTCTATTTTATTTTACAATTTTATAGTATACAAATTTGGAATTAAAAATAAATGTACATTAAATAGAAACATATGCAATATAATCTTTTAGTAATTTATTCATATATTAGTATATATATCATCTCTTTATTTTCCTGTTGCATAATAGACGCCATATCCGAGCATGCCTGCGAGCATTAAGCATGCAATAATGCAACCTCGGGTTTTGCATCCTGATGCTAAAAGTTTCTACGAATCGACATTATGGAGAAAAGAAAAAGAGATTTGTTTATCACGAATGGCACGCGACAGTAAAGAGCAGACAGAAGTATGCAGATATTTATTTTGCATCATTATCTTACCATATGTTTTTTATGTTATTATTATTTCACATACGATTTTATATTTTTAGGATTTATCATCGCTACAACAATCAAGTTATAATGATACTCCTATCACTGACGATGATAAAGTACAATATTCCAAAACAGACTTGATAAATACTGATGCTACATATACTATTGAGTCTAAGGAAAAAGGTATATTTTTTGAAAGAAATATATATTTGTTTTTCCCCAAATTTTATATTATATTAAACTATATTTTATATAATGTATCTTATGTAATGCTTTACTATATGTTTTTACCATTATTAATAACATAAATTAGTAATTATTTATCCTCATTAAAGGTGATTATACCAAAGATAATAAAGAATCATCCTTAAAAGATATGAAAAATGATTATGTATCAACAAAGCTTTCACCTTTTTCAAATAAATCCATACAAGATTTGAAGGATGCCCTTGATCGTGCCACAGAAATAGTACATTCGGTAACACCACCAAAAATTTGTAATTCCAAGCTCGATTGGGCTAATACACAAGAACTCAAAACAATATTCAAAGATCGGTATGAAACAACATATGATAACAATCAAAAGATCACAGTTACCGAAAGATGGACGCCTGGCAACAGCAATTTCGTAGGAGTAAATGAAGTTAGAGACACAGAAAATAATATTGAAGCCTCCATAAGATATGAAGAAATTTTCAATCAAGCTTTCATAAATAGTGAAACATCCAGTTCCGCAACCACAAAAACGTCAAGCGAATCTCCAATATTAACGTCGAAGCAACAGTCGACCATCTTGCAAAAAACAGATCGAAATAATATAGCCTTTACAAATAAGATTATGTCAAATTTGCAACAAAGCGGAGTAGATTTTAAAACACATGAGATGGAATGTGTCAATGTAGATACTATCTCGAACAATGTTGCAATAAAAGATTCACCAAGAAGACGTTCTCTACCCGCAAAATTAAATACTTTGACAATAATGTCCATCCCAAAAAATACTCACCAAAAAGTAAGTATATGATCCTAAATTTCATATACAAGTCATTACAAAAAGAGATAAAAATTATATTTGAAATCTCTATTAGAATATATCTTATTTTTAATATTTGAAAACGAATGGCACTTCTTATGTACTAATATAAATAAGCCAACTTTATTTTTATTGCAGAATATGCCAGTCAGTCAATATTTAACCGAGGATATGTATATTGACGATGAATTCGGTAGTAGATTAAATTATAATCTAGTTCTTTTGGATGATGAGATACATTTATTAAATACTGCTTTAAGTGACAATGAAAGTCTACCTCAGACTACAGAGTTATAAATTGTACTAGACTCAACTTGTTTATTCATTCGCACATACATTTAAAAAATCGTCATTCTTTTTAAATAATTTATGTTTATTTATATGCCATTTTGATAACAGCATCAGGGCAAATTTTTGTTTTATACTGATTTGACGATATAATCTCAATGCGAAGAATTTAACACGATTTACTTATTTCTCATCATTTATTTATGTTTACAAGCGCAAGTAATATAATGTTATAAAATGTTTTTAGAGAATTGTGTAATTTAAAATAAAAGTTAAATTACTTTATATTATTAATAGATAAATGAAGATGGAAATCAAGACATATGATTTCATTTATATTCGTTTAAGTTTATATTTAAATTATTATCTAAATATTTGAAAAAATATAAAAAATGAATTATTATAAGCTTATTTTACTGAACAAGTTCTTTAAGAACATTTTATATACAATTTCAGATTATTTGTTGAATACATACATACTATATTTTATATAACATGCACAATTATCTTGTGCAATAATAATATAAGAATTGTGATTGATGTCCTTTTGCATTTATTTCATAAAAGTTACAATGTATAGATAGAAAGAATATCATTTCTCACATATAAAAGCAAATCTAAGAAAATTAAATATTTATTTAATTAATATAATTTTCCTGCACCTATTTATATATATTCAATTTTATTTATATCACATATCATATTAATCATTGCTTTAACTACATTCAATTAGCACAATTATTTGTGCTTTTCTACTCTTAGCCTCAGTTTTTGCTAATTTGTGCAAAAATATTCAACTTTTATTAGACAAGATTTTAGAATTAAACATTTTATTTTTGAAAGTAGTGTTTATTACATCTCATATCTACGAAATTATTAAATTATTTTTTTTACGAGCATAGAATTATATCTTGTAGATAAATAAATCTAAAGCGCCAGTCCGAAAACGGACACAATGCAATACATAGTTTTATTTTCCCAACGTACCGTACAGCTTCCATCAGTAGCATTATCCCAGTAACATGAGCTCGCGGTATGAAGCCCAGCTCCGTTTTTTTGCATGATTGTACAAGTTACTGCAAACATAACTTATTATTAATAATGAGTAAGATTTGGATGAAACTTATTTTAATATTTTTGAGCAAATTAACAATTAATCAAATAACACAGTTGTAACATTTTCTTTTTGGAATATTACCTTAAGATATATTCCATCGAGATTTTACTACATTATGAATTAGACGACTTCTATTTTTTTGTAAAGTTATAAAGATTAGAGTTTGCATTACATACCAATATATTTGTAAGCCTTCTGTAATTTTGTAAGATTGCCTAAACATGCCTCTACAACATTTGAAGTCCATTGATTAACTTTATTATGCTGATATGCATTGCCTCCTATTGATACCTCAATTGCTTCTTTGATAATGTTACTTACATCATCTACCACAAATTGTAACTAAAAAATAATGAAACATAAAATGTTTTACACAAAGCAATGAGTTATGTACATGGTATAGTGATATAATAAAATATACTTGAAACTTATTTAGTTAAATATAAAAAAATATTTTGGTATTTAGTATCAAACATTAAACAGTCGTAATAAAAATAAATCGTTTTAGAATCAAATCTCTAAGGAAAGATTCACCTATAAGTTTGTTAAAGTCAGTTAAGAACATTCTATATATTGTACCTTTAAGGCAAAAATCATCAATCAGACAAGTCATAATGGTTGGTTTATATAATTTCAATCTTTATATTTGATAGCTGTCAGATCAATATTTTGATCAAAATTTTCTATTCAATCAAAAGTGAAAAAATATTTTCGACTAACCTCTTCTTGTGCATCCTCCATTTCAAGCAAATTCTAAAGACAGCTTCACACAATCGGAAATAATTTCTACAACAATTTAGAAGTTATTGTTCGTTCAATCCAGAACGATTGTCAGTTTTAACAGAACTGAAAAATATAAATATGTTGGGTACATCTGGATTGTCATGAAGTTTCAATGAAACTTTCACGCACAAAAGACTTACAACGATTTCCTTAATTCTCCACGTACATAAATATTCTTCACCTCGAGTTACAAGAAAAATATTGCACTATCAAGATTTATCGTCGCATTCGTTTTATTGGAACTGTATAATATTGTGTGTGATAGTTACCCTATCTGTGAACACACATAACCAGTCAATGTCAATAATACTCTCAACTGTCACCTGTCACATTGCCGGTTGCTTGTTGCGAATATTTTTTCAATATGCAAATTTTAAGCCAGAGCTTCTCAAATTACGGCTATTTTTTAATAATAATATAAGAAAATTACCTATTTCCAAATTTATCTATTTTATCCAACACACACAGTAAAAGAGGTCATATCCAATAACAATTTATGTAAAAGATGAGAGCCCGGCAACGTTACTCTCTGCTTTCTCATAGAAAGTATGTATTTTGAGGTACTATAAAAAATCTCAAAAAGAGAATTTTATATATCTTTAATCATTTTCAAAAGATGATTTTGAAAAGGAATAATTTTTAATGTATAATTTATAATAATTTTCGTGACTAATTTATATTCTCAGAGAGATTTCTCTCTGATATACCGATTTGCAGCAAAACAGAACATTTTAGTTCGAAAATATTCTCTTATGAGAACTACTGTTCCGCAGTGACATTTCGGCTCGACGCTCGAAGACTGTTGGTAGACCTGCGCGTGACGCAACGATGACATATATATATCTAGACGACGCAGCCAATGGCGATCAGCTGACAAGCAGCGCGCACGACGGTCGCATCGCGAAGCATCATTTTGAAAAGTAACGACGTACGTACACGCTCGCGTTTCGTTCCATTTTCGCTCGCGGTCGGAAAAATACGCGCCAAGGAATGCAGTGAATGTGACAATAATGGCGGAATTCGAGGAAACGATGATGTCTTCGTTCGCGAAGACAATGGAGCTCGAGATGTGAGTAAATTTCACGGTTTCTATCCCCAATATCAACGATATACCACACGCACTCGATCCCCTTCTGCGATCCCTGTGCGTTTGTGCATCAATCCCGTACGTGTGTGTGTGTGTGTGTGTGGGAAGTCTGTATTCGTAAATATAAATAGATATGTATTTCGCCGTTGAAATGATATCTGCTTTTGTTCAAATGTACAGGAGCCCTATGTTACAGAACTCACACACAAGTAAAATGCATGTTCGATTATATTATCATTTGTTTCGTGTTTACATTGCTTAGAATAATGTTTCGTACTTTGATTTTAACGAATATACAATTGTTCTTGAGCCGTGTTATATCGTTCTATAATTTTTTTAAATTTATTTATCTTTTATTGATATAAAATTAAAATAATTTTATTCTCGAAATTGGTTTTCAATCTTCAAAACGATATATTCCGGAGGAAAAATATAAAGCAAAACCCAGACATTTATAATAAATATTCGTAAATATTTTTTATTATTTATGTTTTGAAATATTATATAAATATTTTACACATATTTTGTATTAAAAGAAGAAATCATAAAAACTTTATTCGATATATTTTTAAAATATAGACTAAATATTTTATATAATATATAAAATATTTTGATAAATATTTATAAAATATTCAAATAATTATAAATATTTTGTATATATTTTATAAATATTGTGTGCTGTCTGGGAATATATATTGAGAATGTAAATGAAACATGCAAATAACGTTATGTCACATGTAATTTCGCAACATGTATCTCACAATAAATCATGAATTCACTCGCTGTTTGCATTAACAGTGATTATCTTTTCTTAAGGTTAAAGATTATCTTATATACTGCAAATTATATCAATTTCTCGTTTGTCATATCAATCCCTCCGAACATAAGCGATAAAAGTGACAAGAAAGAGATCCCTTATTAAGTCTTAAATGCATGTAACGATGTTAAATATTTTCATAATTAAATATTTCATAAAAGAAGAACGAAGCTGAATCCTCGATCGGTATTTAATCTGTTTCGTGTGTATTTAGCTCCTCGTTTCTGTTTTTATCATTCACTGTTAGTCCGCCCTCCTTACTTTCTCCTCTTCCATATGTTTTTCCCTTTTTACCAATATATGCATGCTGCTTTCGTGGGGTCTCTTTCCCCTTTCTGCTCTTTGATCCGAGAGTACAGCGGCATTTATACATTGACTATCGCGCATGTTGATTTACACGTCCGTTGATAATGAAGAAAACGAGAAGGCCAGTGAAAATAGATACGGTTTATAATTTTGGCTGATATTTAAATATCTTTAATTTAAATATCTTTAATTAATCGTTGAACAAATAAATTAAAGTTGATTTTTTTTCAATCTAGCTTTGCATTTGATAAATACTAAAGTGTAAACTTATTTTTTAGCAGATTTGTGATTTACTGTTTTTGCAAAGAATATATAAATAGTTAATAATTTTTTTTTTTCAGAGAGAGAGAGGAAAAATAATAGAAAGAGATAGAAAGGAAAAAACTGAATATTATACAAAAATAATTATTTAGTAAAAATATTGACTATCTGCCAAGTAAATATTACTTAAATATATTTATTTATTATGGAAATATTATTTAAATTTAGATCATACATTTGGAAAAGAGAGAATATTTTAAGATATAAAGAAAGATATATTTATACAAAAAGAAATATAGTTACAAGACATTGTTTAAATAAAAAATATATCCGGAAGTATAATCGAGATTTGTATTTATAATATTCAAGAAGAGCATTTTATTTTTTCTTTTAAGTTTTCGGATTCGCTACAAAATTATTTTTACCTGTACTCTCGGATCTCGTACAAAAAAGAACAGATGCCATGCATCCCTTCCCCCTTTTCCTTCTCCTCTCTATAGTTACGCTCTGCTTGACACAGCGCATCCCTTGCGTCTCCCTTGTCACCCCTCTTCCCCGCACTCCATCGCCATCCCTCTATTTCTGCTCGACTCGCGTTGCCGTCTTTCGTCAGTAGTCTTCGGTGCGTCGCGCGATACGTAGGTGACGTTTCATGAGACGTGATCTCGCGGTGCGTCACAGCATTCGCGATCCTCAAATAAACAAATTAAAACCGACGCAGGATTCTGCGTGCAAGAAATTGCATTTAACAACAAAGTGTTCTCGCCCTTGCATCGCGAAACGTCATCATCGAGACGAGATAGCGTGCATTATTCATCGTTGATAGAAAGAGAGAGTGAGATAGAGTCTCACATCCCCTTTGTGAGATCGTCGGAAAAGGAAGCTGAAAGTTATCGGATTTCTGAAAACTCGTGATTAGTGTACTAACCCACATACCATCCCACCAGGATCTGTTATCTACGTACGTTATCATGAAACGTGTGAAACTGACTTGAATATCGCCACCGATGAGTCTCGCTTTAACGCGTGGACGATCAAGATCGTCGACGACGCACGAGATTCGATAACGGCCGTGGAATTATCTGACGCGTCATCTTTAAGCGAGAGTTAACTCCATTGATCGGTCCAGTCTACGCAGAGGAGCATAGTACGTTCGCGCTAACGTCGCCGCCCAAACGAGAGCGTAAGGGACCCCGGACTCTTTCGGATTTTTTGTGGCCATGCTTTTATTTCGCGAAAACGCGGGTGCAATCTCGAGGATTATTCACGAAGACACATCATTGTTCGCGAGGATCTGATCTCTCGAAAAGGATATCGTCGTCGTGCTTCGTTAAATATCCTTCGCGTGTTTTAAGAGGGACAATATTAATATTGTTAGGATTCTAGAATTTCATTGTGAATTTAAAAAACTGCATCTCTCGTGGAGAGAATTAGTCGATCGTACGTATTTTATCTCACTTCAAGACTTTTTGGGGAGTCGAACGTTACGGTAACTTTTTGTAGTGCCGAGAGAGTTAGCGGAGTTTGTGGACGGATCACGTGTTTTCATCTCGCGATTGTCGAATGCCAGAATTTCGCTGCGGGATGCTTCTCGGCGGTTGTAGATATTCAACCCAAAATCAGAATGTACCGTCCACGAAGACCAGCACCTGGGGTCCTTACAGTCCTTTTCGAAAGTGAGTACCGTATACACACAGAAGGGGAAAGAGGACTGATCTGGTTGATATGATTAATTTACGTATTTATTTACCCATTTGAATCTTAAAATACCAAGCAACACAATAAATCTTGATATTATTGTTTAAATTAATAATTGTTTTTATTTACGCTATATATAATCATCTCTATAACAAGTAATCGATATATATTTTCCAATTTTTCTGAAAATTTAATTGAACATCTAGTTAAGAATTGTATGAAAATTAAAGATGAGAAAAAAACTGAAAAAAGAATTCTAGGAAATTAACATTAATATCACAATAATATATAACTCAGAATTCTGTGTTTTGTCAAGAGGAACATCAGTTTTTAAAAATCGTAAATTTTTTTGCTAATAAATTTCTGAATTTTTTGTCTTTAGAATGTCTTAAAACATTAAATTCAATTTTTCAAAAGACTTGTTTAATGCATTAAAAAAAAAAATTAAAAATAAAGCTGTATATAGTATCGAAAATGACGCATGTAACTTTTGAATAAACGAGATCTCGTTTGCCTTTTCTTTGTGCTCTTTATCGCATATCTTTTAACAAGCATGCATACGGAACATTTAGCAGGTGTCTATTATAACATTCTTTTATAATCGCTTTTAAAAAATTAATAGTGCACATCATAATAGTTGAGTAATTTATACTAAATATACGTTTTTTTTTTTTGTTTTTTTTTTTAATCAATGATATTTCCGTAATATATAGCCGTATGATTTCATAATCCTGATCGTTACTTTATTATTTTTTTATTGACATCATGTAAAATTGATTATCCTGTTCACACTTTTACTCTATGATATAATATGTAATGTTTTTACATCAAATTTTGAGATTTATATATTTATGTTTTCTTTAAATGTCAATACATAAAAATTAAGTAATAATTGAATAATAAATTATGCAATTATTAATATACAATGTGAACACAGTATACGTTCGTAGATACGTACATCGTGTGTATTGCAAATAAAGTTCTCCTGTCAGGATCTAGCTAATTATTTAACTGCTCAGTCAATTCGTTTAACGAACCGTTAATTGAGGAAACTTTGCTCGCCCGACATCTACGTAGGTCTCACATATTGTATAATCTATTTAGTAATATTTAAATTATCTCATATGGAAAGATGTCATTCAGTCTGTTGTTTGAATAAATAAATTCATAAATCTTTTATTACAAAAATTTCATCAAATCTTAAGAGGAAATCACAAGCGGATATTAAATACATATATATTTTGTGTATGCAACTAATATATTATTCATTAATTATAATTGTTTTAATCACAATTAAAATTTTTGAATATTGTTTATTTACAGTTGTATTGATATCAAACAAAAACAAATGCCTGATTAAATATATTTCAATGTATTTTTATTTTATTTTCAATGCATTTCTAATATATGTACATATATA